CCAATTCTTTACAAAATATGGTTACTTCCATACCTTTGCAAACTTATTCATCATCTCTTCTGTATCTCTCACTATCTTCGGTTTCAGCAATTTTGTCTTAGGCGCCAATGTAAATGCAGGCACAATTGTACTTTACACAATACTAAAATCAAAAGACCAACAACAAATTGTGCAACTGCATAAGGTGGCCAAAGATCAAGATTGCAAATTTCAAGAAGCACTAAACTGCAATCATGACCACTAAAGTACAAATCCTACAGAACTCAAGAGTAAACATAGTTATGATGCACTATTAGTGTAGACTCCCCTAAATACAAAATATAATTTTACCTGTCACTTACTAGTTTTTTAAAGGGGAATATATCAAACATTATTCTACAGTATTCCATGGATGATTCCACTGAACAGGTCCATAGTGATCGTGATATAGGTGCAAGAGGTATGATTCCTTGGGTCCGATTCTTCATTAACATATCAAAGTCAACATGTTGTCTGCAAGATTCTGCCATATAAGGGCAGTGATCCACCACAAAAACTGTTTTGTGTGATTCTGAAAAAAGTTTCATTTTCTTCCTACAAGAAATGAATAACAGAATTAGTAAAACACTATGCAAATTTCAGCACAATCATACATATCTATTCAGACATAATTCCTAGAGTTCAATGGAGCTTACTTCCAGCAAGTGACTATAGGATTGTAGCCTCATAAGCAAGCCTAAAAGTGAAGAGGATTGGAAAATGTAAAAAGGATTGGAAAATGTTTGTAAGGTATTTTAAAAATAAATTTTTTATACTTATTTTAAAAATAAGTATAAACAGGTGAAGGGGACGCGGGTGGCGCTGTGGGGTAAAAGCCTCAGCGCCTAGGGCTTGCCGATCGAAAGGTCGGCGGTTCGAATCCCCGCGGCGGGGTGCGCTCCCATTGCTCGGTCCCAGTGCCTGCCAACCTAGCAGTTCAAAAGCACCCCCGGGTGCAAGTAGATAAATAGGGACCGCTTACTAGCGGGAAGGTAAACAGCGTTTCCGTGTGCGGCTCTGGCTCGCCAGAGCAGCGATGTCACGCTGGCCACGTGACCCGGAAGTGTCTCCGGACAGCGCTGGCCCCCGGCCTCTTGAGTGAGATGGGCGTACAACCCTAGAGTCTGTCAAGACTGACCCGTACAGGCAGGGGTACCTTTACCTTTATAAACAGGTGAACAGATTAGCAGGACTTGAATAAATTCAGCAGTGTAAGAGAAAGCAGGAGATAAAGTGTAAGAAGAGTAGAATTGGGTAATTTAGAATATGCAGAAGGGGTGGAAAACAAAAGAAACCAGCAAAGGAGAAGAAGGTGAGTCCTTACGAGTTTTGTTCTTTGTTCTTATTTTTGTGGGGTTTTTCCCCCCCCTTTTTCTTTCTTTTTATGTCTTTTCTGAATCGTATGCAAAAACGCAAATAAAATTTTTACATATTAAAAATAGTGTAGTTGTGAAAATACAGTGGACGCTCAGATTGCAAACATGATCCTTGTGGGATGAATGTTCGCAACCTGCAGCATCTGCAACCCACATGCGCACGCATGGGTTGCGATTCGGCGCTTCTGCACATAGCGCAATTTAGCGCTTCTGCACATGTGCAACCGCCGAAACCCGGAAGTAACCCGTTCCGGTACTTCCGGGTTTCGGCAGTCCGCAACCTGAAGTGCCTGTAACCCAAGGTATGACTGTACTTCTTTTGATGCACTTTTGAGGTGTACCTATTGGCAATCCTTTCCAGCTTCCTTTGATGTGTGGTTCAGTAATTACTTTGAAAAAAGCAAATACGTACAGTGCCCCCGTTTGCACAATACAGTAAACAGTAATGATTTGCTGGGATGGGCTGATTTGCTCCTTCCTGCTTGTGCTGGGGAGAAACAAACCACTACCCCTGGGCACAGTTTTATGTTGTGATTTGTTTCATTCCAAAAAATCATGATTGGTATGTCAAGAAGGGCATTTCCTTCAAATGGGATCCAATGAAGGTTTCCAAGTCAGTAATGCTTTTAAAGACACAAATACCACTATCCACATTTATTAGGACTAAAAGATATTTATGAAAGTTTCCATCTTACGATGAACCTTCAGATGTTATAGATCAGGCATCCCCAAACTTGGCCCTCCAGATGTTTTTGGACTACAACTCCCATCATCCCTAGCTAACAGGACCAGTGGTCAGGGATGATGAGAATTGTAGTCCCAAAACATCTGGAGGGCTGAGTTTGGGGGTGCCTGTTTTAGATTAATCATTTTAGTGTATTAGTTGGCAGGTGCAGAAATGGCTTCTCAAATAGTTAGCTCATAATATTTAAATTAAGAAACTTTGTTCAGTACTGTTGCACTTTTATCCTTGTATCAATTAACACTGCATAATATTGCTTTTCCGTGTGGCACATCTCTCACAAGATTATGTAAAATGTGACACACTTTACTCAGTGCTAAAGACAACCAATTTGTTTTCCATCTCATCCTAAACATTTCTTCAATTTACGAGGGGTAAGCAGTGCTCAACTAATAATAATACATAATTATTCTTCTAAAGAACTGATCAATAGATTTCAAACTTACGAAAACAATCTGTGAAACCAAGAACCACAATCCCCTTTCAACAGATTCTGAAGATGTCAAAACCCAAGCCATGTTGATAGTGATCTGGTTGAGATTCCTGCATTGCAAGGGATTGGACTAGATGACCCTCAGGATCCCTACCAACTCTACAATTCTATGATTCTAATTGTCATTCTTTCTCAACACCCCCCCACCAAAAAAGACAATAAAAATTGTTTGTAGATATATGCTTGTTTATAGGTCACATGCCCATTCACCTAAAACTCTGAAAAGTCAACAGCTGAAGGGGGGAAAGCCCCAAATGAGCTAAGAATTGGGATTTTTAAAAAATCTTGAACTTCCATACAATTTGCTTCTGCATGAGGATTTCTAGGATAGAAGCCCCTCTCCCTTCAGTGGGAACACTTTATTGTGTTAGCAACTTGTTGTTGTTGTTTTAAATGTAGGTAGGAAAAGAATGTGTTCTTTTGTGGATCTTGCAAGCAGTTGTCTCTAGGGCTGGTAGAATTCTCCAGCTTGCAGAATTACAAAAGACTGCTCCATTGAGCTAGGGGAAAAGAAATCACAGTGGCTCAATCAGGGCCTGCCCACCCATGAGACGAGGCAAGGAGAGCGCCTCAGGCGGCAGGGTCCACTGGGGCAGTTGTTCCTTATGCAGATCTTCCCTGGCCCCTTCCCCCCCCCCGTGGGGACGAGAGCAGCCTAAGTTGGGGGTTTGCCTCAGACGCCAAAATGCCCTGAGCTGACCCTGGGCGCCAGGCAACCGAGTAACACCTATCCAGATCTTCCAACCTATCCAAATGCCTCCCCCACGAGAGGTCCAGAGGGCAGCAACACGAAAATCAGCCTTTTTCTGCAGTGGCTCCCCATCTGCGGAATGCTCTTTGCAATGAGGCTCACCTGAGGCCTTCATTATGCACCTTTACCTTTAGGTACCAGGCAAAAGCATTCTTCTGCAATCAGGCCTTTTGGCTGAGGAATATCCCACAGCCTTTTTTAAATGTGTTTGGGGGGGGGGATTTTGTTTTGTTTTTGTTCTTGCTTTTATTATGTATCTTGTGTTCATATATTGTGAAGCGCCCTGAGATCTACTAAAGGGCGATATACAAATTTAATAAATAAATGGTGTTTAATTCGCGCGGGTTTTATCGAAAAGCAGCATTGAGAGGGTCGTGCCCGAGTCCCGCTGGGTTTGCGTGCAGCAGCTGAGGGGCGACAGGGGGCTCTGAGGGGGCAGTTCCGGGCCTCAAGGGTGTTTCTTACTGTGGCTCCTGGCATCGGCCGTCCTCCCGAAGTCTAGCCGCACCGAGGGTCGGGTAGGTTACGAAAGTGGACGAGGCTTCGGCCGCCCCGGGACTCGCCTCACGGGAAACGGGCCAGCCGGCGCCTTCCCCCGACTCGGTGCCGGCCCAGCCGCCCTCGCCGTTTCCGCGGCAGCTCCCTTGAAACATCGCGAGAGCCTCCGGTTTCATAGAGGCAAGAAAGGTGAGAGTCGGGCTCCAGCTGCTGCGGGGGAAACGCCAATTCCCTGGTTCCTTTCGAAAAACAATGCGGGAAAACGCAGGGAAGGTGAGCGCTGCAGATCCCGCTCGCTGCTTCCTCCCAGCCGGTAGGAAAGCGCTCGGAAATGCGGCGCGTATTGCGGTTTAAACTGCGTCCATAACGCCCCAGAGTCGAATGTTCTGGATTAGAAATAGCGTGAATTTCGGGGCGACTTTGGGACTCTCTCGCGCGCGCACCCTCCGTGATCCCGGGGGGGGGGGCAATGCTAAAGTTCTGGATGCTAACGGACCTCTGTGGCCAAAGGAGCCAACTCCAAGGAGCCACAGGGGCTTTGGTCCCCGCAAAGCGAATGGGCATTGTTGCCATTCAAATAGAGAGCATGCATTGTGTCATGTGATCACTTATGTGGGGCGGGGCTTACCTGGGCTCCCACAATATTCCGTTTCAGTTGGCGCCCCTGCCTGTCATTTCTGACAAAAAGTAGTTCGAAGTCAACCCAGAAGCGAGCTCCTCAGTACACGTCTACATGCGCACATCTATAATGTCTGCTTCTCCCTTGAGGGAGATTCTCGCGATATCTCGGCGCAGACTTCTATTAGCTGGAGAAATTGAGAGGCATTTCCTCCTCTCCCCTTCAGGGAAGTCCCGCGATACTGCATTGGCGCCCCCGCCCCCGGGAGAGCGGAGGTGATGCTGGGTGAGCTCGCCGCTCTTCTCGCCCAAAGAGCGAGCGGCCTTCGGCGACGGGAGCCGCGAAGTCTCGCGAGAGCCGCTTTTGAGTGACACTCGGGTCCATCCTTCCGCCGGCGACGGGCTCGCTCTTCCCCACCTACCTCACGGCCCCCTCATGGGGCCTGTCGGCGGGTCTGCGCCGCCTCCGCGTCCTCCGCTCCCTCCAGCCGTCGCCGTCTGAGGAAGCGCCGCGGCGGACGAGAGGCGAAGGCGGGCTGCGGGGGCCTCGCCACATCCCCCCCCCGCCCCAGCTCCGGGCGCCGCCCGGCGAGGAATGAGGTGGAACCATCGGTGAGCGGGGGGGGGGTTCGGGGGGGGGGAGAAGGGACGCCGCCTCGCGATTGGCTCGTGGGGAGGCGCGCGGGCGCGCAGGTTCCGCGCTTCTCTCGCCCCTTTGAGACCCTCGTGGCGGAGCCTCCAACCTCGAGGGCTCTTTTGCGACAGGTGGAGAAGCCGGGACCGCAGAACAAGGAGAGAGAGGGCAGCAGGAGCTCTCCTGTGTGGGCCTGACGAGCTGTTGCCACAGGATAGCATCCCCGAGGGTCATCTAGTCCAACCCCCAGCCATGCGGGAAACTCAGCGAAAGCATAAGGGACAGGTGGCCACCCAGCCTCTGCTGAAAAACCTCCAGGGAAGGAGAGTCCACCGCCACCTTTCGTGGGAGTCCTTTCTGCTGTCATCCAGCTCTTCCAAGGAAGGAAATGAACTTTGTGACAACAGTAACTTGAAGCCCTTGGTTCAGGTCCGGGTGGGGCAGGTGCCTGCTTGCATCTGCCCCTGCTGGAGGATGTGGATTACTGGCATGTGTGTATGTGCTCCTCCACAACTTTTTTGTTGTTGAGTGTGTGCTTAAATGTAAAAAAAAAACCACAACAAAACATGCATTAAAAGATAAGGAACTTCGGTTTTGTGCCCATCACAGTCCCTGCACTGATAGCTGCAGGGCTGACTGTAATGTACTTACTTAAGCATGATTTATATCCCACAACTTTGACACGGTTTAAGGTTTCCAGGGCACCTAATAAAGTAGAAAGAAACACAAAGTACCATTTAAAATAAATACTATTATAATAACAAAAAGTATAAACTAACACAGCAAATTAAAAAAACAACAAATCAAAACATTTAATAGCCGATTTAAATTGCTTTCCCCATCTCTGCTCTAAGGTTTCACTAACATTGTAAACCACCCCCACCCCCCATATCATAAATGCTAACACTGGAAAAACACATTAGAAATTCACTGACAGTCACAATCCATTCCTGCCTAGGTAGTCTTTCAAGCCACCATACAAATAAGAAGTCAACATGAAGAAGTCAACATCCTGTCTTTGATTGTACACTTCCTCTGACACATCTTTGGTAATGTAATTTACATAACAGGACACTTTACACTAGCAAAGTTCTTAAATGCAAAATGTAAACACCTAGTTTTAATCCTGCCCATTCTAATGTGCAAATTCTTTTACTCTCATTGCTGTAGTTTTTGTTTTTAAGCATTTATATTAATGCTTTTAGAAATTGGTTTGGTATCTGTATATTTTATTCATTATACAGCATCATTTTATGATTATATTGTGTGTCATTATGGGTACTGTTAGTAGACGAGCAGGATATAAGTTTTGAGAAATGTGTGAAACAGCACCAGATTTAGGGTGATATAGGTGGTTTCCCAGCACAAGGCGCCGAGCTGAAGGGGAATTTCCTCCATCATCATTAACATTTTTGACAGATTGTCTTATGCTTTAGTGGGGGGGGGGCACTTGGCATCAGGCAAGCTGACACCCTGGCCAGTCCGCCACTGCACATTCATGTGGTTGATACACTATAGCTACAATGGTAATCTTTCTGCAGGGCCTGCAAGACAGAGCTGTTCCACCAGGCCTTTGGCCAAGGCACAGCCTTTGGTAATCCTCACAGAACTCTAGTCCAATGGTTGCCATGAATTTGATTTTGAATTGATTTTAAAATGAATTGATTTTAGAATGTTGTGTTACTTTTATTGTTGTTAGCCGCTCTGAGCCCGGCTTCGGCTGGGGAGGGCAGGATATAAATAACATCATTATTATTATTAATCTGGGGTGGGGGCAAATCTTCAAAGAAACCAGTGATCTTTAAATGGTGGAGTATCCCCCTACTTTTTTAAAGAATTGCATGAGTGCTCCTGTACCATTTACAGGGAAGTGCTTTCCTTTATAGAAATAAAAACATTAGGACTTTGAAAATAATCCTGTTATGTGGGCATGACAAAGTGAGACAATGTCCCTCACTGGCAGTTCCACCTATCACAGAAGCTGTAACTTTGCAAACTGAAAGAAAAAAGGTTTACTCCTGTGAGAGTCAGTGTGGTGTAGTGGTTAGAGTATTTGTAGGTCTAGGACCTGGGAGACCCAGATTCAAATCCCCACTCAGCCAAGAAGTTCACTGGGTGTTACTATAATAATACTAATAATAATTTTACTATTTATACGCTGCCCATCTGGCTGGGTTTCCCCAGCCACTCTGCCCTATACATGCCTAAACTTAAGTCCCACTGTGCTGTCTGTATGACCTGTTTTGCTATGGCTAGTTACAACTTTCCAAATACCACAAACTGCAAAAAGAACCAAATTATGAAAAAATAAATAGAAAGTGCTGTTACATTGGGAAAAAATATGACTAGTCATTCTGTTTTTGCGCTATAATCCTGGAGCCATGTGGTGAATAGCTTTTCTATCTCAGTTGCTAACACTAGAGTACATATTAAAATGGTTCCTCTGGCTGGGGAGTAAGATGATAATTATATTTTAATGTTTCAGAATATGGGAACACACACGCCACACATCTTGCAAGTAATGACATTGTGTTTACATTACGCAACAAACACTTTGTCCAATCATTTGTTATAGAAATGAGTTGCACAATTGAGAAGGCCCTAGCTGATGCAAAAGCACTAGTGGAGCGACTGAGAGAACATGATAATGCAGCGGAAGCTCTGATTGAACAAACTACGGCACTCAACAAACGAGTGGAAGCAATGAAGCAGGTGTGTGGTCTCTTGTTAATTGTTCCTATTTGGAAATAGACTGTTTAAATGTGACCATTTAAGATTATTTGCAGTGGCCTAGGGAGTAAAATGAATGACACAGTCAGTTAAATGTTTAATAAGGCGTTTGAATTAGTTGATGTAATCTGTATATTGTGTGTTGTGTGTGCGAGAGAGAGAGAGAGGACCTTCAGCTTTTTGCATATAAATTTGAGACCAGTTTAAGTAATGTAGTGTTGTATAGTCTTGCAAAATCTTATGCATCCACAATTGAAGCCTAGGGATTCTTTTGCATTATGTTGTTCAACTTTGATCAGATTTTCCTTGTATCAATCATATTGTAAATATATTAAATTTTTGGCAGGCACTTGGACTTTTAAACTCATTTTTCTGCAAAAAAAATCTCTCTAACACATATTTTAATAATAATTATAATTTATTTATACCCCACCCATCTGGCTGGGTTTCCCTAGCCCCTCTTTTTTAAAGCTTCAATAGACTCTTACCTGCTAGGACTTGCATCTGAACACTCTACTGTTGCTTTCCATTAGTATTCTTGTCCTTTATTTAACTTTTTAAAATTAAACTATATTTATGCCTTGCCTTTCCATCCATGAAGGCTCATAAATGGCTTAATAGTATTAAACCTAGAATTAAAACAGCAGTATAAAAAGAGAATAACAATCTACAGCACAACATGGGCATAGAAACAATCAATAAGCTGTTATCTGCAAAGACCTTTCTAACAGTAGCATTGCAACCTGCTACCTAAACCACATTCATGAAAGAACCAAGTGAGCTCTTTGGAAGGTATTTTTGCTGAGAGAAACATATATACTGTGCTTCTTTTGCATATATTAAAGTTATAATCTAATAGTCACAGGCATTTTTGTATGTGTTTCATTTCCATTCAACACCCCTGCCACACCCATAGGTAAGTATGCCAGCCAGCTGAAAATAACAGTTCATACATGTACTGTAACATAAGGATGGTGGGCCCATTCTGATGGCCAACCCTCAGAGACTGATGGAACCTGATGCATTTCTGAATGCTCTGTGGGATTTTTCTAGTAGAGAAAGGTGATGATCTTGTTGAAGCCCTGGTCTTGCTATGGCAGTGTTTCTCAAACTTGAGTCTCCAGCTGTTGTTTTACTACAAATTCCATCATCCCTAGCTAGCAGGGCCAGTGGTCAGGGATGACCCAAGTTTGAGAAACGCTGTGCTATGGAATGGCAAGAAGAATGGGTGGTTGACACAATCATTCCTGAGTGTCCACTCCAGTGTTTTGGAGCTCAAGCAGCTCCTTGATACTCTGAGAGGCTCTAGACTATAAAGCAGGCTGGGCAAAGACTGGAGAACAAGTGGCGCAAGTTTCGCTGTGAAGCTGACTGAACAGAGTTTAGGCAGCATACAGCTGCAGACACTGATTTAACAACCCTTTCCCCCATAAGATAAGGGGGAGGGTTTGGTGAAAGGATACTTCAGAGTACAATTATGGAAATACCACAATATTATGCAGTACAGCATGCCAATTATGAAACATCTGCCTACTTTCAGTACCAAGAAGAAATTCAAGAACTTAATGAAGTAGCAAGACATAGGCCCCGCTCTTCACTGGTACTGGGAATCCAGCAGGAAAACAGGCAGATCAGGGAACTACAGCAAGAAAATAAAGGTGAGTAAGCATTCACTCTAGAAGGAGATTCTGCACCATTTACTTAGTTTATAATGCAAGTTCCAGTAACTGAATCCCAAAGATTGTTCATTAACTTTAAAACATTTCATTGAAACTAATCATTTGTTTACTACCACTGTTACTACTACATCTGAGGTGCATATACACTGTTAATCCATGAAAAGGTCTGAAGCAATAGGTGGATGCTGCTTTGAAGATAGATGGGATGGGCGCCTGATTGGACTGAAAGCTCTAAGGAAATGTGTCAAGATTCTGCAGATGCTTGGATAGCTAGAGACTAGTAGTAAAAATGCTCAGTACCCAAGATAAATGCGGGTGGCGCTGTGGGTAAAACCTCAGCGCCTAGGACTTGCCGATCGCATGGTCGGCGGTTCGAATCCCCACAGCGGGGTGCGCTCCCGTTGCTCGGTCCCAGCGCCTGCCAACCTAGCAGTTCGAAAGCACCCCCAGGTGCAAGTAGATAAATAGGGACCGCTTACTAGCAGGAAGGTAAACGGCGTTTCCGTGTGCTGCTCTGGTGCCGGTTCACCAGAGCAGCTTCGTCACGCTGGCCACGTGACCTGGAAGTGTCTGCAGACAGCGCTGGCTCCCGGCCTCTAGAGTGAGATGAGCACACAACCCTAGAGTCTGTCAAGACTGGCCCGTACGGGCAGGGGTACCTTTACCTTTACCTTTCCCAAGATAAAAGATGATGATGATTTATTTGTAACCCTTCCATCCTGACGGGGTCAGACACTTATACAGATTGGATGGGTAAAAAGTTCATGGACATATGCTTATAATGCATTAATGCTAACAACTAGACCTACTAATAGAATACTTTATTTTTTTCTGTGTGACAGTATTGGTGTAACTCTTATCAGATTGAACAGAAACTGCTTCCACATCTGGGTTTTAGGAACTAGGGGTGATTGTTATGGAATGATTGAACAGGTGGTCTACTGTTGCTAAAGAAATTATCTGAATACAGAAAATTTAAAAGGGGAGTAATTAGCAAATCTTCTACAGGTAACTTGCAACTTGCGTGCATTTAACCTGTGCACATTCAGCTTTACACGCTTGGGGGATGGAGAAAGGGACAGGAGGCCGACGTCTGGGGAAAAATAACTGGCAATCCCACCCTCCATTGAACCCAATGTGCTTTCACCAATGGTGTCCAAACGTTTTCCAAAGAGGGCCAGATTTGATGAAGTGAGGGCCAACCAAAGGACCCACCAAAATTGTTAACCTTTTTTTAGGATTGAAGTTGAGCTTTTTTTAGGATTTTACCCCAGGAAATAAACTGCCACAGGGGCCAGATTAAACCGACCACCGGGCCGGATTAGACCCCCAAAACGGACTTTGGGCATGCCTGGCTTTCACTATATGCAATTTTGGCTTTACACTCTAGCCCTGGAACATAACCCATATGTAAGAGTTGCCTGTAGGTAGTTGTTTGGTTTGATTAAACATGTTGCCACTTATATTAATGGTGTACCAACACACATTTGCTTATCTGTTTGTTGTAGTGCTAGACACTATCAATTCATAGTATCAGAAATTTGGGTTAGTTTCATATATCCACCCCCCAATTAATTAATACTATGGCAACTATAATGAAATGGGTAGTTCTCCAGTAGTGTAACCAGTCTGAGCAATATAGTGGATTGTTTGTATACAACATTAGCCTGCTCAGAGCAAACCCACTGAAATGAATGGACATTACTAACGTTGGGCAATTCATTTCCATGGGGCTACTCTGAGTATAATTCAGTTGGATACAACACAAGCAGAAGCACCTGCTATGTTTAGATAGTTTCCTGTGCACAAGTGAAATGTATTGAACTTATTTCGACAGAATTACGTACTTCTCTTGAAGAACACCAATCTGCCTTGGAGCTAATAATGAGCAAATACAGAGAGCAGATGTTTAGGCTGCTCATGGCCAGTAAAAAGGATGATCCAGGTATAATAATGAAGTTAAAGGAGCAGCACTCTAAGGTAGTATGCCTTTTAAAATTCTCTAAGCCTTTTGCAGTACTAATGTTTTACCTTCTGATTTATGCACCTTCAGTAGTTTTAACTTGACTTTACTTTTTTACTCCAAGACTAGAGCTGCATGGCCAAGACTCATTTCCAGATCTTCACCCTCTTCTACTGCATATTGGCATTGGGGGGGGGGAGATTTGCAAAGTAGTAGGTGATAGCAGGAGTAGTACTTAATTCTTTTTCCATCAACTACTTTTGCTTGTAACTCCTGATTTCACCTAGCCAGGATTCCAGACCTGTACACATCTAAACAAGTTTAACTGCATACCATGAATAGGTTTGGTGGCATACTGAAGACATATTGGAGACTACAAAATAACCTGAAGTAGTCAATGGAATGCTAACTCTCCAAAGAGCTAAATGGAAACTTTTCAGTTTGTCTAAAGGCCAGTGTATTAGATAGAATACACTGCCCAAAGAACTGGGTTGTTTTTCTCAGGGCTGATAACCCAATAGAGTGCTGTTAGCCTACGCACTTGCTTACTGAAGCTAATTTAACAGATTTGTTTCCTTAGTTTCCAATCACCTTTTGAATGACTTATTTAATGTTCCTCCTGAATTGATGTGCTACATGTTCATTGCAAAGTGAGATGAGGTGCTTTAATTGCTCAAAAAATGGAATGCAACTCCTGTTTGAACACTATGTCATTGATACCCCAAGATCCTTGCACATAGAAGTATAGTGTACCATCATGGAGAAGGCAGTTGTTCATAATGTTTGTTCTCCTGAAGGTGGCTCTAAAACCATGGTTCCTAATGTGGGACACATGCCCCACGGGGGGGGGGCAATTTGATTTTTATGGGGGGCAATTCGAGAATGAGTTAGACCAAGTTAATGGCCTTTTAGGCTTCCTCCACATGAATAGGAGTTCACTTTTTGAATAATAAGAATTCTATGTCATGGGAGGGCATCAGGATTTTAGAGATGCTTAGGTGGGGCATGGCCAAAAAACCAGTTGGGAACCACTGCTCTAAAAAAAAACCCTGCTGGATATGAAGAATGGGAAGAAATTCTTTGGAATAGTAATATTACCAAAGACTACCTGTGGTTTATTGTGTTGGAAAGACTTATAATAAAATATTGAAATAAAAAAATCTTATGCTTTTTATAAACTTTTATTATTTACAACTCAGTTGGCATTTTAAATTTGAAATGTTACTAGTGGTTTTTACTTTTATTCTTTTGGTTTAGGAGCTACAAGAACATGTGGACCAAATCACAGAAATGGCAGCAGTCATGCGAAAGGCCATTGAAATTGATGAACAGCAGGGTTGCAAAGAACAGGAACGCATTTTTCAGCTTGAGGTAAATATTCAATTCTATGGAAATTGAAAAAATAAGTGATACTTCTAAACTGATAAATTCAGATCATTAGTAAATGACAGAAGAATTCATTTTCGGAATCATTTTCCGTTTTGAATGAAATTGGACACTTAGCACGAGGCAAACATTTTACACAATTTACCTTAAAATGCATTTTTAATTACATTTGGTAGTCATACCTTATGTGGTAAACAGACTGACTTTATTGTGTAAAAAACACCATTTGGCATCTAGATCCTAGGGGCTGGCTTTCATTGCAGTGGCCCAAGTAATGGCTTTTGCTGCTGCATATTCTGGGAAAGAATTTATTGTGTAGCCTCATGGGAAACCTAGTTCCTTAAAGCGTTTTCTGGAGTAGAGCTTGAGACAACATAGGACTTGGACTTTATCTGTGCTTTCCAATTTTTTTCCTTTTAAGTGCTTGAAATAATTTAATACATTCCCTCCATAATGTCTTCTCTGTTCAAATATTATTTCATGCTTTACTATGCTACATTTAAAAGCATTGTGTCCTTGCTTACAGCAGGAAAACAAAGGACTGAGAGAGATCCTGCAAATAACTAGAGAATCATTCCTGAATCTCAAAGATGACGCATCAGAAAGTACATCTCTGTCAGCATTAGTAACGAACAGCGACTTGAGCCTGAGGAAGAGTTGAAGATCCTATGGAAATTTTGTATGGCCAACTGCACATAAGATCATAAAGTATCAGGGTTCACTTGTCAAGCGGCTGTTTCCCAATGCAGCCTTGACAAGTTAATGCATTCTAAATTAGATGACAATTTGATACTTTTTATACCATGTACAGTACATTCAGATTTATTTAAAACTGTCATTACTGCCCAATATTGATTACCGGAAACATAATTTCTGAAGGAAACTGGCTAACATCAGTTAAAGTTTTGAAAACAGCACCACCCAGAACAGCTGCAAAACTACACACATGTATTTAGAAGGTTCAAACTACTCCTATAGGGTGCTTAGAAATATACATAAAAACAGAAGTTCCTGCTCTCTTGGGCACATTCACAACATCATCTACCCACATACTTATTCCATTCATGGACTGAACTTGAAGAAAATCAGTTGTTTTGAACAGTACTGATTGTCATACACCTTTAGTCTCTATCTGCTTCAGGTCATGTGACATTTTACAAATGGGTTGTATTTAAGAAAAATAAAAAACAAGGTACCAAATAAATTAATGCATTGTCTTTTTTTTTAGGTACAATTCTTTTGTAAAATATTGTAATCTCTGTAGTGAGGGAGAAAATTGGGTTTTTCTTGCTTGTAGAAAAGATTGCAACAATTGTTAATACCTGTACTCATTGGTAATCGAAGTCTGAGGTCTAAGATCAATCTGTAGCTAATAGTTACAGTATTGTTGCACATCCAGTGCACTTCTAACATTAATTGCCTTTCAAATAATTGGTAGTGGCTCCTTACAGTGGAAAGAAATGTTGGGAGTCCAGGGAAATAGTTCTTTTTCACTTCACCAAATAATGGGTTTAAAAATACAAGGCTTGCTTTTCAGCTGTAAATAAATCAAACCTAGCAAGCCCCACACCTACTTGTAGACAAGGAAGTAATTAACGAACTTGAGATTCTAAATCCACTATCTTGTAGTCTCTATACTATATTCATTTTTCAAAGAAATGTAGAAAGTACATAATTTTTCATAATATTTTTCTAGATCAATAATAATTTTGCTCAGCTATTTAATGTGAAGCACTTCATTTTCTTCCACTATAAATTAAACACTGAGGCTTGGATTCAGGAGCTGTCTATGGTGTTAATGTGTTTGCACTCTGGGTTTCCCACTGCAGCTCCCTATACCCTCTGGGAAGTCACTTCTGAAGAGTTTTCAGAATGGTGTGTGCAGGGCTGCAGCCGAGGGTGGCCAGAGAATGGGTTCCCGTTCCCCTGGGGTTTCCAGTTGTGCATGACACACTTTGGGATCCAAGCCTAAATATAGAAGCCGCTCGTCTACTAAAATAAGTTGAAGTTTTAGTAATATTTTTTTGAAGCACCTGGAACATTATTTCTATGTGTCAGTAAGATTAATTTGCTCTGATATACTCAACTTTGACCATTTGTCAACCAGAAACAAATATTTGATATGAAATCCCATTCTTCAAGCAGCATGATGGGCTGCAGTTATTTCTTAAGTACTTTGCAGAATGTTCCTGTGTATGAGAGGTATGCTATTCTAGTAGTCATGTGCTAGACAAAGGAAATTTTAAAGTGAACAGTTTACGGAGGCAAAACTTCAGAAGCAGCATGAGATACATCCTTGAGGAAATCTAGAGATAAATCTGGACAATTTAGAAACATGTAGAAAAGCGGTACTTAACTTGGCCTTAATTTATAAGCAAAGTAGTAGCTACGCTTTATTCATAATACAATATTTTGTTTAGATTGCATTCACAAATGGTACAGTGCACACTCATCTAATAAAACTACTTCACCTGCACTATGAGCCCAAATAGAAGCCAGTTGGAATATCTGTTTAATCCTAAACATTTGCAATGACATATGTAGGCATAGGGCTGGATTTTTTTGATGCTAAAAACATAGCTTTTGAAAATACAAACTGGTCAAAATATGTGACTTCTATTTCAACTTTATTTAAAACATTTTGTCCTTTATCTCAATCTGTTTAGTCTGCTCTGGTGTATGCGGTTAATTGTGGTAGGCACTAAAGCAACATTAAAATAAATGACAAATGAACATAATTTATTATTACTGCAATGGAAAGGAACTTGTTTATAATTTGCCCTTAGAAATTTTATAATCTGACTTTCTCAAACAAATTGTTTGTCAAATTATTAGCCTAAGCACAAACCTTTTGTATACATTTTTTTTCTTCCAGGTGGACAAGAGTGGAATTTCTAGAAGCTCTACTTAATCCTCTCTGTAAATTATGAAATATTTATGTAAATAGTTTAACAAAAACTTATTTTCATTATATTTGGAGTGTAAAATACTAACTAAAATGCAGTCATCTCCAAGCTTGTGGAATGGATGTAGTAGTAAACTCACCAGTAATTCTGTACGGAAAAAGAGGCTTGACTAATGATTTGTAACTGTAAATTATTGTGATTGTCTAGTTCAGATCTCTGGTTGTCTTGAGTATTATTCTTTTGCATGCCCAAAGCAGCATAACTTTCTCGGAATGTGGCATGAGTTTTCCTTATATCATTATTTTTGTAAGGCTTGTAATGACCTTGAAATGCATCCTGTACAGTAAACTTATTTTTGCCAGTATTTTGGGTCAGGTAGCTGTTTCAGCCATTCAAGTTTTGTCAAATACCAACATGAAATGTCTGTTCTGGTACAGCTGCCTCAGCTCCTAGCAACCAGCACCCCCTGGCCAGCTCCAGTGGCACCATTCGTCTGGGGAGCTTATAGCCAGAGCTGCTGCAACGAACAGCTGTGCAAGCCTTTGGGAGGCAGAAATGAGAGAGGGCATCAGAGGCGGAAAGAGGGACAGAGACTAGTGTTGCCATGGCCCTCCTGACCACTGTTCAAGGCACCCCAGGGTGCCACGGCACACTGGTTGGAAACCACTGCTTTAAGAAGCCCATCAGGTTGAGGAGGACCTTTTTTTTCCAGTGGTGGCACCAGTTGCAGTATTCCATTGTCAAGAAAGCAGCTGGAAAAAGCATGCAGAGACCACAGCCCTGTTTACCATAACACACCCCACCCCACCCCAGATACTCACTAAGCCTGCTGTGGCCTGGAGCTGGTTGTATAAAGTGCAGATGGCCAATTGCTGAATGGACACAGCTATGGAAAAACTCCATCAGAACTTGGTGGCTGCCCACAAAAACAAGCCCTGCCACAAGTGTTAGGCCACCACCACTGGCGCTGCCAAATGGACTTAATCCCTTTGGGTTACCCCTCAGAAGAGTCACAGGACAGGAGTGCCACTCATCTTGATTTCCAATCACCATGAAGTTTGCACCGAGATAGACTAGGGGGCTGAGGTCACCTGGGTGAGAGGCAGGAGAATGAGAGGGGTTGAGTGGGTAGGTGTGATGGAAGAAGGGGTGTGCGGTACAATCAGTATGCAATTATGGCACTGATATTGTTACATAGCACTTTATGAGATGTTGCTAGCATGTTACTCACTAGCACACACCTTGTAGCATTTATATGAAATCCCAGTTTGCATATTGTAATGGATTGTATGTTTGGGGGGGTCATGGGTTGGGTTGTTTTTACCATTTTAATGTTTTTTATATCCTGTAACCCCCTTTGGTACTGTCTAGTAAAATGTTGATAAATACAAAATAACTCCACCTTTCTGGTTCCCCCCTCCAACCCCTTTAGTGGTCCCCTAAAGACTTTTTATTCTGCTAAATGTTTTAATATGCACTTTATCTGATGTTAAAACAAATGAACGCCATTTTGTAAACATTTTTATTGCAAAACTGCCTTTGAGAAATTGCCCTAAAATGTTGGGATAGAAATAAAGAAGTACGACCAGTAACCATGAAATGCAATATATGTAGTAGATTTAAGGACAGAGTTTGAGAGGCCATCAACTAATACTCCAGTGGCACACTGGTGCGTATTTGATCCTAATGCACAGGAAGTTTCCATACAGCAGCCAGTCACTGCTGTAGTAGCTACATATTCACTTACCTTGCAAAGCAGGAATTGTATTTGCCATTCCTTCACTTGGAAAAACACATATAAGCTGCCCTTCCCTTCAAGATAAAAAGCATGAGACAGAATGAACTCAGACACACAGATGAGTCCCTAAAGGGTAACACACACAGGGAGATCATACAAATAGCACACCTTTCAAGTACACCTTTATTATAAAAAGGAGTAGAAAATGGGTTTGTTTTTTGTTTCTTTGCATTGTAAATAATGGCAGTTATAAAAACCAAAGCAATTGGAACTAGTTGCTTTATAACAAAGTGTGGCCTAAGCAGCCAATAGGCAGCAATTATTCTCAGTATAAAAAGGTCAGAGAGCTAGTAAAATGAAGCTGCCCTTGACAGATGGGGACACAGTATATTTCATCTACAGCTTCTACTTTTCAACATTAAAATGAAAATAATCTCTGTCTAGTTGCCAAGAACTATGGACTTTTCCATCTTCTTCCCACCACCAAGTATTGCTTTCAACTGTCAGCCTTCTTGCATCTAAAAATGGTTTAGGTTAAGTATCAAGGTCTGTTTGACACAAGAATGCCCTACAGCTCTTCAGAAAGCTAAATAACTTAAGGTGGAATCCAGCACCCCACAAATTGACTTCACCTTCTTCCCCCTCACTGCAGCCCCCACCCCCATGCACACAGCCCAATCCATGCATTCTCAGAACAGATTACAGGGGTACTGCAGTGAGTTTGAGAAGGTGAAGTCCCATAGTGCAAGCAGACGTTCATATAATCCACAGTTTGAACGTATGTGGGAGGAATGGACCGGCTCATCTCCTGCACATGGAGAACTATAAAAGTTGCAATGCATCTCCGGTTTCTACCTAGCAGCCTTAGGGGCCTGAGATACAAATAAAGCATATTTAAAATTAGGTAAGTTTAGATATGCACCTTCCAAGATGTGCTCTTGTTTAGAAGGTGTCCTACCACAGCAGCTTTCCTGGACTAGGAGTGAGTGCAGTCCATGCAGTCTGTGCCAACAAACCTTCTACCACCCTGCAACACCATTATTGCTAGAATATACAAATGGCACAAGCAGCAAGCAACTCGAGCATCAACATGGAATGCAACAGATCCTCACAATACAGACAAGTTGTGTTTGAACAGAAAAGGGAGATAATAGAAAACAGTCTTCTGTTCTTACAGCACCTGTCTGCAAATGAAAATACAGATTATGCACATAGTGCCAGGTCCTGCAGTGATGGGGCTCCTCCACCTTGGATAGCTGTGTACATCTACAGTCACAGCTTTTAACGCTGCAACAATGAGAGGACAAACACACCTGCTCAAGTTCTCTCTGCTGGCTGCCTTCTGAAGATCAGGAACCCCAATTCAAACACTGGAGGAATCTTAAAACCCTAACCAAGCCAGACACCTCCACCAGTTTCCTCTCCCACAATAAAAAAAGCCCTGAGAATAAGACTTCAGCCTGGGTGCACATTGACTAATGCAATCACACACTTCAGGTTTAAACTGGATGTTTATCATGCTTCACAGCACTTTTGCTCCCTGCACCCACACAAGTGGTTTGAGCAGTTCATTACAGGAAATGTGTTCGTCAAATAAGGTACTGGTATAATGTTCAACTAACTGCTTTACGTATAACTGCATTACTCCAAGCCAAAGGGTTATTATTGGGAGGGGCCAATTGATAAGCTAAAGAGGCACAGAGGCAGGGGCAACTCTGCGTGAGCTGCAAAGCTAGGAGTAAGTGGGTATATGGCCATAAGCAGGAGTTTAAATGGTTCCGTTTTCTCCTCTGCCTGCAGAATCCTCTTCTCTGAACTCGGTGTCCCAAATATAGGCTTGGGGACCATCCCACTCCCACTCCTCTAAGCCTAGAAGTGACATCATGGCTGAGGGTGATCTGGTCTGGACTCCTAGGCAAATTACCCAAGATCTGCCCTTCTTTCCCCACCCTCAAGGCTCTGGAAGTTGGCTGCCCTAGATGTCTGTTACATCTTTCTGAGCAGCAGTGCCCCCAAATGCCTGCAAACTGGGTTTAGGGGTTTCTTTTCTTCTCAAATATTAAAAAAGGAGAGAGAGAAAAAATCCAGTGACAATTAGCGTAGTGGCAAACACTGCAATATGAAAAGGAACTTAAGCAACTGAAGCGCTGTAAAGGCTACTCATTGTGTCTTGCACCACAGATCCTAATAAAAACAACCTTTCAAAGTGCGTCAAGAGACTATCCTTTTTTCCAGCCTTAGCAGCCACCACTCACTACAACCCGATTAACAGCCTAGTAGAAAATTGAGTGCTAAACTTTCAGAAAGCTTTTTCTCCTCTTGGGTGTTGGAATCAAAATTACTTGATTTTCTCACACACAGAAAGTGAATGCAAGCTAACCTGTTAAATGATCAAAAATATTTTAGTACAGCTTGACATCTTAAAGGTATTGGCTAGCAGCAACTGTGCAAGTTTAGAATTAATAGTGCCACGGTCAGCAAGAGGCTGTTTTTCCATATGCAGTCAGTCTCCAATTATTCTCCCCCCTTCCTGCCATAGTCTGTACAACAGAAATGATTGCTCAAAATGTGGCACTTGTTAAAAGGGTGTACTGTGCTTGAAGAGAACCATGCGTGTGCCTGAAGTGTCCATTTTCCATCTCTCAAGATTTTGAAGTTGCACATCTGTCCATTACATTCTCTCCCCATCTTACCCACCCATCCCCCTATTTTCACACATTGCACATATGTATACTCCATCCTTGCAGCGAACTACCAACAGATGCAAGTGCCTGTGTGCCACAGCAAACCATCAAGCAGGACTACTATAAGTAAACTAGTGTTGATCTTCTTCCAGTTCATTCTTATAACTGTTTAGCAAGGCAAGGTGACAGAGGAAGTTCTCAGCACCGCTGGGTGTCTGCTGGCTCCAGAAAAATCTCTGCCTCCATTTCCCAAGTCTTCCCAGCTGCATGTCAGTTTACAAGAGTAGTGGTGTTCTCTCCCCTGCTGGCTGCTCTTTTTGGAAAAAGTCCTTGATCTGAGATAGCTTGCTATGAATTCTTTCTTTCAAGGGAGGGACGTGGTGACTTGGATCTAGGATGTTAGTTATCCTGCGCTCTCTTTCACGCCTCCATATCAGGTAGGGATGTGGTGGAAAAGGGGCTTCGCGTTTCTCTCTGCGCAGCTGTATCGTTATTCCTCCAATGGCCAGCATTGCCCAAACCGCCAAGAGTATGATGTCTGTAAGATGAAGAAACCAATAGGTAAGTCTCAACTGAAGTGGGATCTCTTCCTTCTCTTTTAGTAAGCCAGCCCAAGACCTCATTTACTTATCCAGGCCAGTTTTCCTTTACAGTTTCTAAAACCTACACCTGCTTTTTGAAATCCATCTTCACATCTACTTTCCCCCACAAAGGCCTTGGAACTGCTACTCTGCCCCACACCCTCGAGCGACTTAAGATTTTCCATAAAGGTGTGAAAAGGAAGACCAGTATGCTGCTGAGTCTTGTCTGAAGGGACAAGGTACAGAGTATTCATCTCCATCCAGGACAAAACACATGCACCTCTTTGGCCAAGACCCAGAAGCTTGGGAAAGAGCAGCCTAGTCATTCATCCGTTTGGAACATCCAATGCAGCGCTAAGCTAAGTGTATCTGCAACGGCACTCTTCAGGCACAATTCTTGTCTGTCCTCTACTTTAACATGAGCCTGCAAGCTTTTTTGAAGCCTTCATGGTTGCTACTAACTTCTCTTCTGAGGTTCTCAGTTGCAAGCCTCCAATCAAGGAACTCACTCATCTGAAGACACACTTACCGTTACGCTGAAAGGGCACATTGGTGAAAGCTCTTTTGAAGTTTTCATCTAGAATCCTCCGGAGCAGGTCAATGCTAATGTAAGAGAGACTTGTGTACAAGTAACATGCTGTAGCCAAGACTACGGTGTAGGACCCTATGATGCCACATGTCAAGATGTTCAGCTAAAGAGAAAGAAGAGACTGTGAATGGCTTTGAAAAGAGGCTGGCCACGATCTATGAAGGTAGAAGATTGCAAAGCACCATCTAGACAGCTACAAATTCCCCATCCCCAAATTAGTGTTTTGTAGGGGTTTTTTAGAGCATGGCTTTCATAAGGGAAAACTCCTGTAGGTTCCACTGTAGCTCATGGAGGCATACAGAACAAAAAGTTGAATTGCTTAGAAATGCAGAGGTTAAGCAGAGGCAAAATGTAGCCAGGCTGAGCCAATGCAATTCACCAAGGATGGGTCATTATTAACAGAAACTGTCCTTCTACTGTAAGGTATACCTGGAGCAGCGAACAATTACAGTAATAAAAAATTAAACATAAAACAAAGTGGGGCTGTGGGAATTGGGTGGGTGGGTAGGGGAAAGAAAACATAATGAAACAGGAATTCATATATCAAAAGCTTGCCTCTGGCAGCTTGTCTCCCTGGATATGTAACATATGCATAACAGAATGTAAATGAGAGGGAGTAAGCAAGCACTAGGGACGCAGGTGGCGCTGTGGGTTAAACCACAGAGCCTAGGACTTGCTGATCAGAAGGTCGGCAGTTCGAATCCCCGTGATGGGGTGAGCTCCCGTTGCTCGGTCCCTGCTCCTGCCAACCTAGCAGTTCGAAAGCAAGTCAAAGTGCAAGTAGATATATAGGTACCACTCCGGCGGGAAGGTAAACGGCGTTTCCGTGTGCTGCTCTGGTTTGCCAGAAGCAGCTTAGTCATGCTTGCCATATGACCCGGAAGCTGTCTGTGGACAAACGCCGGCTCCCTCAGCCAGTAAAGCGAGATGAGCACCACAACCCCAAAGTCGGCCACGACTGGACCTAATGGTCAGGGTCCCTTTACCTTTACAAGCAAGCACTGGTTTTTCACAACTATGTCCAAAAGGGGAAAAGTTTAGTTACAGCATTCTGTCCACCATCACTCCAAAATGTACAAGAACAGAAGCTGAAACAATTACACTTTAAAAAATCAAATAAGGTACTTACAACTCTGGGGTATCCAACAAAAACTATTGGGACTATCAAGGCAATGCAACAGAAGGTCACCCAGAATACTGCATCATCTTGGAAAACTTTATAGTCTCCTGTGAAGGTCAAGTCAAGTCAAATCATTTTATTACAGTCAACGACCAGTATCAAGACAAAAACACCAATTACAAAATTTAAAAGCTCAAAACAAAATAAAATTGCATACACCTTAAAAAAAGCAGATCTGGGTGGTCATTTATCTGTCAGAAAGGAAACCCTTCTGACCTAGAAGTGTGTGAAGGCATCAGATAAATGTGAGTTAAATGCAATTCCAGGCGGCATTCAAAGTCATTTATCAGTGTTCAAAACCGTGCCCACATAGGGAAGTATCTTGCAAGAGGCACCTGGAGGCCAATATCCCAAGTCCATTATTTTGAGATAATTGCATTTAACGGGATGACTGAGGAGCAAACTAATTGCCAAGTGTCGGCTGCAATACTTTCCTCAAAGTGTATTCTTGTTAAAACATTTGCTGAAGTATATCTGAACTCCTATTAGATAACCAGCACAAGATTTGCCATGTTTAGAAAAATATATAAAATATGACCATTCTTACACAAGTCCATTGTAAAACTTTAGAGTGTAGCTTCTTTTTATGTAGCAGTTCTGCCTCTACGACATTAGTATACAGGATAGTTTTGCTGTAAGCCACCTTGGGAAGGTTTAGCCCTGAAAGGTGGCACATACATTTTTTAAAAGGACAGAAATTAAATTGGCAATACTCTGTTTTAATACAATATTTTTGCTCTCAGAAGTGCAACTGGTAGCGCCCTTCTCTTCAGGCCTAAATCAGTGGAAAGCAAAAGACAGCAAGAGTAATCGCAACACAAAACTTCATAAAGTAACAAAGAATATTCACATTTCATAGGAATCATAACTATGTGACATACCTATTGGAGTGAAGAAAACTGTAGATGCGACAAGGAAGCCCAGCACAAGCCCCACAATCAACATACAGAGGATCACAAAGCCAAATCGCCACCAGTAAGCGACCAAGAGGAGACCTCCAAGAACTCCAGCTACTGCAGTAAGACCAAGATTGACTGGGATGATAAAGGAAGGAGAAGAAGAAGAGGGGAAAGTGAGGCTTGTTTCTCCAACATCACCCTCGCCTGTGCAAATGCACTTTGATTTTTAAAAATCCATGCCAACACATTCCCAGAAAGGTAGCTGTGCCAGTTTGTTGTAACAAACAAGGAGTGTTAGAGAATGGTAGAAAGACTAACACATTCATTATGGGATACATTTTTGTGGACTAGCCTCTGGGGTCCTAAAAGACTTTGTTCTGACTCCTGCTGCATGTTGGACTCTTCCATACTGGTTTAAAAAGAAAAGGGAAATTAAAGGGTTGCTGATTAACCATGTTGCCCAAGTAACGTTTTGAGCAACCACAGCAGTGCAGGATCATTCATGGGAAATCAGCAGCTACACAGCACTAGAAATAAGAATAACAGAAATAGTAATAGAAGTAGTAGTGATGGTGTTTATTTATATCCTGTCTGTTTCCCTGACAGGGACCCAAGGCTGCTTCCAGATAAAATAAGAACAGATAAACAATTATGAATGTAACATGTAGTTTTAGCTACTTATTCCACGACTACCTGTGCTCCTCCTATTAATCAAGAAATAAAATAAATATAAATTTTTCAAGGCAACAATGGGATTTACATTTGCCTGAATTTTTCAACTGGCTATATGAGGTTGTCAAAGAGGATTCTGAAGGTAGTAGCATAACAAATTATCAGCCTCTATAAAGAACTGTGCATCTGTTACGCTAACACAATTCATTTGGTATCATTCTGCTACAAAAAATGGAAATAAATCTTGGTTGTATCTTTCTGCATGGTTTATTGCATTTTATCTTCTTTCCAGGATTTATTTTTGTTTTGCTAATCATGGCAAAGGGTAAAAAGTTATGCAACATACTGAATCTTACCGAAGCAAAGAAAATAATAACTTAACCATCTATTTGGTTTTGAGTGTAAAGCTGGTCTTCAAACAAACATTTCCAAGGTATTAATAAATCCATACTTGTCTCTGCTTACCATCATAACTGAGAGCAGATGTTCTCGAAATGGTTATGAAGAAAAAGAATGCCGTAAAGATGAAGCCCATGAAGAATAAATCTAAGAGGGGAAATCAATATATTTTAAAAAACAGTATTTCCCAGGTTTTGAATGAGAATGGTCTATTTGGATTTAAAAGAGTTCTACAAGTTCACCACCCCGTAACCTGGGCATGTAACCTTTACTGCCATGACACCTATATACGTACAGGGACTCAAAAACTGATAAAGCCCACTGTCATGTCCTTGAATAAGCCAGTGAACACTTTTTGAGGCAATGGAACTAGCAAGAGCCATTCTGCAACACCAATGTATTCCTGAAGCTACAGTGGTGCCTCGCAAGACGAAAAGAATCCGTTCCGCGATTCTCTTCGTCTAGCGGTTTTTTCGTCTTGCGAAGCAACCCCATTAGCGGCTAAGCGGATTAGCGCTATTAGCGATTTAGCAGCTTAGCGGCTATTAAAGGCTTAGCGGTTAAGCTATTAAAAGGCTATTAACGGCTTAGCGGCTTTGAAAAAGGGGGGGAAAGTGGGGGGGGAATGGCGAGACTCGCAAGACGTTTTCGTCTTGCGAAGCAAGCCCATAGGGAAATTTGTCTTGCGAAGCGCCTCCAAAACGGAAAACCCTTTCGTCTAGCGGGTTTTCCGTCTTGCGGGGCACCACTGTATATGATTTCACCTTTTTTTTCAAGGCAACAGTCCCAACACACACACACACACACACACACACACACACACACACTGGGTTGTAACTGACCATTTGATCATTCCTGATGTGGAGACACTACAGAATTGCCTACCATAAAAGAAGCTACCTGTAACTTCCAGCTCTGGGATGGTCTTTCCCAAATCACCACAGATTAGTGACTTGGTACTCATACAGTAACACAGGGAGTATATAATTCCCTTTCAGTCTTTCTAAAGTGGGTGGGGAGGTCTTCCTTTTCAGGTGCAACTAAAGCCACAGTTGCATTGCTGGCTTAAATTCAATCCAGGAATGCAAATTAAGAGTTCTTGCATTCTTCTTACTTTTACCAACAGCTTGTACTTTCCCATGCCCCTCATATACAATACCAGGGCCGGGGAAAGGGAATGTGGTTAGCCCAAAAACAGCCTGATGAGCCAACCTTAGATACCTGGCTATAAGAATTAAGTATGCTTTCTATTATAATTGGGGAAGCGGATAAGCGGTGCCTCTGCAGTCCGTATTTTGGGCACACTGCTCTCTATTTTTGTAATAAAAATGCTGATAATGATATTATTATTAATTATTCTTATTATTTACTTGTACCCTGCCCATGTGAATGGGTTGCCCCAGCCATTCAGGGCAGCTTCCAACAAAATATAAAAAACAACACATCGTAATGGAGCTCATCAATTAAACTAACCTGCAGGGATCAGAACTGGCAAAATGCAATTGTGCTGGGAACCAAGACTTTGTAAGACATACATTTTCTCCTTAACCAGTACCTGTTTTCCAGAATCTGTGTCCATGAAAACAGATGAAGAAGCCAAGGACAGCAAGCACAGTGAAAAATATTTTGGTGGAGAGTCTCTCTAGAAAAGAAAAGAACATTTCATGATATGCCATTAAACAGGGGCAACGGTGTGCAACTTTCATCCAAGGAATGACCACCAAGTCCCCTTATGTACACTGAGTTGGGAGGATGATATAGATACATTCCAATGACTTACTAAGAGAGGAGCAGTTATCCACCAAGCCAGAAAGGCTACACATGTATGTATGAGCAGGCACATAGGCAGCAGAGGTATTCCAGAGTGGATCCTTTACTATGACATTGTAGATCACTCCTTGACCAGGAAGCGAGGAGAAGTACAAGTCAGTTTTGTCTTGGTTCACTAAGGTCATCATCTGTGGAGGACATATAAAGAGTAAGGGAACAAAAGAGATGGGTTATGTACACATGCCTTACTTTTCCCCACACCTCAAGTTTTAGAGACAAGTTGGGTGTTGCTTCTTAGCCCTCTGAATTATTGAAATAAGGATAACCCACTTTTGACTGAAGAGTCTCCTAAGGCAGTTGACATACTGGAAGCCATATAAAAACAACAAAACACAAAAAAGATTCTAGCACAATAACTATCATTATAATAATAATAAATATCATTAAAGCAAGTCACCGCAAACATGGACTACAAAAGGCTTCAAGAAATCTTCATTCAAAACGGACTGAAGAAATTAGCACAGTCACACCACGGGATCTGCAGAGCGCCAATCATTCATACACTGAAAGTGCACAACTTACTTTAGTGCCATGCCTTCTGATGCTTTGCACTTCAGACATCTTTCTCATGTGGCTCACAAACGATGCTTCAGACAAGTCATTCTCTGGCAAGAAATACTGATAGACTTCATAAGATAGTCGCCACCTAGAGCTACTGCCCAAATCACACAATGGTGGGTTTGTACCTCTGGAAAATTGCAGGGGAGAATATTTATTTGAATTTGTTAGGCTCATTTTCACACTTTGCTTTGAGGCTAGAGTTTGTAGCGCCAATAGCTACTTCCCTCCCATACATTGCAGAACGGTTTAATATATCTTATTGCGATCCACAGGCAAAAAGCCTAGCTCCAAAGTTACAAATCACAGTAAATAACCGGGAAATTCTGTTTTACAAAATGTTAAGCTGAAGCCTCTTCCTTCCCATCTACTGCAGATCCATTATTAAAGAGGCTTCGAATGGTGGGTCATTACCCAATCTCAAGAGGACTGCAAAGTTGCTACTTCTACCATTAAAAAAAACACCTGATTGCTGATAAAAGATGTATTTTAATTTTGGAGTATTTATGTCAGCTTGTTAATTTAGCAGAATTAATATACCACTTAATCATCTATAACCCCTAAACGGTATAGCGAGGTTGTTATTTTAAAATGTTGATAAAATCATATTATAAAAGCAAGTGAACCGAAAGAATTATCAAAATATAAGTGAAAGCAGGTGCTATTAAAAATATACACAATAAAATTACATGTCTGGGTAGGCCTGCTTAAACAAACAAAAGCAAGCCTACCCAGAATTGTTATTTTATTATGTATATGACTGAACATATAATTACTTCAATTACCATTTTCTGCAATTGCCTTTACATTTATTTGCAAGTCTAAGGGTTAGAAGTCTACATTCTTCCTTACCCCCACCCCTTCTGACTACAAGAACCGGCCTTGGTTTACCCCAATATGTCTGAAGGATAAAAAAAAAATCATAGATTGCATACTGCCAGTCCTCTGGACAAAAATGGCTAGTCTAGCTCTGAAAACCACCTTAATTCCTTCCTTTCAGGCTACAGAAAGCAGGTATGCCTTAGGATTATGATGCAGACTCACCTAAAACAACTTTGTTCGGAAGTCTAGAAACACAATAACCCATATAAGTCACCATCTAAGAGGAAGATACATACCTCACATATCCTAGATTTGCTGGGGCAAATTTAATGTGTGTCTCAGCCAAGTTATATTCTAAATAAATATTGGGGTCAATTTCCAAGTTAAATTCCATGTTGCAGCCTCCAGGGATTGGATCTAAATAGAAAGAGTCAAATGACTTCAATAAAAAGGAGTAACACATTTTCAATCAGCTGTTAAAAGTAAGATACTGTGTCTTATGTTCACTGCTTTAGTGAATAGGCTCCTGTTGCATGAAGCGTTGTTACTCAGCCGGTGCAATCATAATGGCAGCAAAAAATGGTTTGCAACTCAAGAACCAGCTTCATGAACATGTGATCTCTCTGCTCCCCACCCCAGACCATGGTTCTGCATTACAGATATGCCAGGCCAAGCCATGGTTCCGTCAAAAGTGAAGGAAAACCATGACTTCAAGTGGGATTGCACCTAAAAACTGGTTCTGAGAGGGAGCCCAAAGTGACATAAGGTAGAAAGTGTGGCGTTCTCAAAGTCTGCAGGAGGTTCTTGAGAAGCTGAGGGGAATGAATTAAATAGCTACAGGCCAGGAAAATTAAAAGCTCAGATAAAATTGGATGAAGAAATACAATGGAGGAGGATTTTTTAACGGGATGAAAAGAGAGCAAGACATGACGTTTTGCATTTCTGCTTGATTTCCCAAACCTTCACTCTCCTCTATGCAGGGAGACTGGAAGGCACAAAATTTGTATTACACACAGGAGCTCAAAGAGGATAGCCTTGGAGAACGCCACACATTATTTTGACCCTGACTACAGGAAAAATAAGATGGCTTACCTCTTTCAGCATAAGAGAAAGAAACAGCTGTGCTCAACACCTGGTCAGCACCCACAGCTTGCAAGTACCACGTACACACTGTCTGCAGAGGCCGAAGGACAGAAACCAGTCCTTTGTCTGTTCCAGCCCCAGAGTTGTTGCTGGAAGGTTTCTAAGAAGCAAAGAGATTAATGAGTACCTCTAAAAGCTACAACATGCTACATTTATTTTTGTGCATGCTCTCATAAGATTGCAGGGTGCTGGAGTAATATCCAATTGCCCATTTTGAGAGCAATCACTAAATCCAATTGTCAGCTACTGAATATTTGACAAGAGCCCTAGACAAACAGGGATGTTGGGCTTTCTGCAGATACAGCAACAGGGAATTGAAGGGCATCAGAGTTCATGAGATTCCACTGAACCTACCTATCCACGCTCCGTCCACACAATGTGTCCATTATTCCACTTGATGCTGGGTATTCCAGATGCAAGTGAACCAAGTATTAGATCAGCGACTAGGCCTGGGCAATATATAAATATATCACCCAGGATGGGTATGAGGGGCAGACTGTCATGACAGCTTCACTCTGCAGTATATTGCTGGTGAAACCACCACCAGTCCTGAGTCCCTCTGCCACCAGCGCCCAGCATGCCAAGGGAAAAACAAGCTCCATCCAGGCACTGGAGACAGAGGGACTCAGGAGCGGTTTCACCAGCAATGTTCCGCTGAGTGAAGCCATCATGGCAGTCTACCCCTCATACCACCACAGAGGGAGAAGCAATCTGCATTGCTTGTTCCTCCCTCCGCTTCTTAAAATTGCTTGGCGGGGTGGGGGCTCCGTTAGAGTGCTCCCCCTCCCCAGCAGAGAGAGCCCTAATTGTGTTCCTGCTTGCTTGAGAGCAGGATCAGGATCATGGCTGCTCAGCTGGGGAATGCGAAGCCCAGGAGGCTCCCCAGCTGAGAGATCACACACACACACACCCCGCACCCCTGCTTGTTCCGCCCCTGGAGGAAAGAGGCAGCACGCCTGCACAGACAAAGGCAGTCAAACACACAGAGCCTGGCAGATCCATGCACTTGGGTATTGCTGCTTGGTCTGTCTTCGGGAAGGGCGGCCTGCTGGCTTGCCCAGCCCCAGCTCAGCTGGAGGCAGGAGCTTTTCCGCCCCCCAGGCAAGCAGCAGGCTGGGGCCAGCTGCATTGGCCCCAGCCAGCAAGGCGCTGAGTCAAAGCACCTCAGCTCCCACAGTGAGAGCTGTGGCAGTTTCACCCTGTGCCTCACGGTCTGGGGCAAATGCAGCTTCTTTCAACATCACGGTTCATCACCAAACCGCGATGTCTGGCTGGTGATACACCGTGATGTTGAAAACCCAACATCGCCCAGTCCTGACAGTGACTGAAACATCACAAGGGCTAATAAGCAGTAATTCAGATACCTTATCAAAGGAGATAGTCACATTCTTGTGGTGGGTGTGGATCTGAAAGATAATGACAGTCACATTGCTGTCAATATTCCTCAACACTGCTTCAGCTGGAATGGTTTCGTTCAGCAAGACATTCTTAAATTTTCCCAAAGAAAGCTCCAAGAGAGGGCCTGCATTAAAAGGGGGAAAGCAAGTGATACTGGTTAGTTGACTTGAGTAGATGAAGACTCACAGCTAACCAGCAGCCTACAAGAATGGAGGTGAAGTTGACTGGTCAAATATTGTCAAAGAGTTCCTTGAACTGTCTTTGTTTAAATGGTTGCCTCCCTTTTCCATTGGGTCACTGGTCATCCTAACTACTTTTTCATCAGCTCTCCAGAAGTCTGGGTCACAAGGCGCCACCTATTTTCTAGAACAGGCACCCCCAAACTTAGCCCTCCAGCTGTTTTGGGACTACAATTCCCATCATCCCTGACCACTGGTCCTGTTAGCCAGGGGTGATGGGAGTTGTAGTCCCATAACAGCTGGAGGGTCGAGTTTGGGGGTGCCTGCTCTAGAAACTCTAGTGGGCCAGGCTTTGGAGAGGTCAGTGAGCCTTCTAGTTCCAACTTCTTCCTTCTGAAATAAGCCACATGGCCAAGCCTAGCTGGTTATTGTGCTACAACTGCATGCAATTCTAATGTGGACAGAGTGGAGGAACCATGCTTCATGACAAAATAACACAAGCAACCATTATATTAACACAGGACACAACTGCTGCACCACTGCATTCCCTGAGTCAAGGCATGTTCACTCTGTAAAGTTTCTCGGAAGGCTTGGAGTTTTCTGCAAGGCCATCAATTTGTTTTGTTTTTTTTTAAATATTTTATTAAGGATTTTCTTGTTTTACAGAAGTGTAGTGCCTCATATATATTTTTCCCCATGTAACATTTTTACAAATCCGTTTCATTTGTTGAGGCATTAGGGGGAGAAGAAAATAAAAATAAAAAATAAAAAAGGAGAGAAAAAAGAAAGGGGGGTGGAGAGGGGGAAGATGGATAAGGGTGGGATTGGGTGGCGGTGTTTCTATTATGTTTAATGTATGTAGAGTTTGGTGTCAGCGTGCTTGTGTTGTTCACTTGTGTTCCTTTGGTGGTGAGAGAGGTTGGGGTTGGCCTAGGGTGTGATTGTTTGCTTGTGATTGGCTGTGGTGATCTTTGTTTTCGTGTGTGAGTGAGGTGGGTGGGTGTTTTGGATCAGGTTAGCCATATTGATTTGTATGCTGTTGGTGGATTATTGTCATTGTCCTGTTGGGCTGTGTGTGTGATAAAGGGGAGCCATACCGGGGTGAAGGCATCTTCTTCTGTTTGTCCCCGTGTCAGTTTCAGTTTATTAGTTAATTTTTCTAGTAGGGCTGTTTCCCATACTATTTGATACCATTGGTCCATGCTTACTCCTGACAGGTCTCTCTAGTGTCTGGTTATGGTGTTTCTGGCTGCTGAGAGCAGGTGGGTTATGAGTTCTTTGTGGTGTAAATGGGCATTGTTGTCTTGGAAGATGTTTAGTAGGGCCAATTCTGGGGTGGTGTCTATTACTTGCTTAGTTATTTTACAAATTTCTTGTATGGCTGTTGTCCAGAATAGTTGGATTTTGGGACACTCCCACCACATGTGGAAGTATGTGCCTGTGGAGGTGCACCCTCTCCAGCATTTTGGTGAGGTTCCTGGGTGTATTAGCGCTAGTTTCCTTGGTGTTAGGTACCACCTGTAGGTGAGTTTCAGTGTGAGTTCTTTTCTTTTCGTTGATATGGATTTAAAGGGGGGTTTAGACCACATTCTGGTCCATTGAGTGGGGTTAATCTCATAGCCTATGTCATTCTCCCATTGTTTTTTGATTGCGTCTAGGGGATTTGCGGGATTTTGGAGTAGTATTTTGTATATTGCGGATACTGTCCCTTTACCGTTTCCCTTTGTTGTTAGGAGGAGGTTTTCGAAGGTTGTCAAGGGCCTAGTTGCTGCTGATTTTACTGTTGGGTTGTTTAAGAGGGCGTGTAGTTGGTGTTGTGTTAACCAGGGCATTTGGGTGTCTTCTAGTTTGTCTTGTATTTCTTGTGTTGACAGGGGTTTGTTATTTTTATAAAAGTCTATTAGGCGATATAAGCCTTTGGTTCGCCAGGTTTTTATCTGGAGGTTTTGTGCTGCATGGTGGAATAATGGGTGGTACGCCAGGGGGATTAGTGGGGATGGGGTTGGGGATAGTTTGCCTATTTGTGTTTTCCATGCTTTGAGCATGGTCTGTGTGTACCTGTTAAGTGTTGTGGGAATTTTCTTTAGTTTGTTTGGGAGGAGTGGGTATGCTGTGGTGCAGGTGTTTTCAATTGTGTCCCTCTCTAGGTGTACCCATTGTTTTGTCTCGTCTTCTAGTATATATGGGATTATATGGCGTATTTGGTTGGCAGTGTAATATGCTTCTATGTTGGGGATTCCCCATCCTCCTTCTGAGGTGGGGAGGTGCAGGTATTTGGGGCTTATTCTTGGTTTTTTATGTGAGAAGATGAAAGAGTGTAGTTTTCTCTGCCAACTGTGAAGTTGGGTTGAGGGGATCCAGATTGGGAGGGTTTGGAATAGGTAGGTTAGTTTTGGGAGTGTGATCATTTTGATCATGGCTATTTTGTCTGAGAGAGTGAGGTTCATGTTATTCCATCTCTTTAGGTCTTTGTTAATTTGTCGCCACAGGGGCTTGTAGTTGTGGAGGTATAATTTATTGAGGTTTCTGGTTATTTGTACCCCTAGGTATCTGAACTTGGTGTGGCAAAGTTTTATTTTGGTGACCTTCGTGAGTTCTTTTTGGGTGTGAGGAGGGGTGTTGAAGCACATAGCTTCTGACTTTGTGAAATTTACCTGTAGGCCCGACACCATTGCAAATGCGTTGAGTTCTCTGATTAGGGAGGTTGCTGTGCTTATGGGGTCTGGTGTTGTGACCATTAGGTCATCTGCAAAGAGCCCTAATTTATAGGTTCTGCCTTTTATTTCCACTCCCTTGATGTCTGTGGCTGCTCGGATGCAGATTGCTAGGGGTTCCAGAGCCAGGATAAATAAGAAGGGAGACAGTGAGCATCCTTGTTTCGTGCCTCTTTGGATAGCTATAGTGTTAGAATCCATATTGTTAGTTCTGCATTTTGCTGAGGCTTGGGAGTATATTTGTTTGAGGATTTGTAGGAAGTTGGGGCCAAATTTCATGTTAGTTAGTACTGCTAATATGTATTTCCACTCCAAGCAATCAAAGGCTTTGAGTATGTCTAGGGACATAATTGTCAATGGGAGTTTGGTTGCCTTGCTGTGTTCGATCAGGTTCAGTAGTTTCCTGATGGGGTCTGTTATATTGCGGCCAGGGACAAAGCCAGTCTGGTCTGGGGCTATTAACTTGTGTAGGAAGATTTTTAGGCGGTTGCCCAAGATTGATGTGAATATCTTGTAGTCTTGGTTTATTAATGAGATTGGGCGGTATGATTCTACTTTGAGGCTGTCTTTTAGTGGTTTTGGGATGGAGACTATTTTGGAGTGGGTCCAGGTTTTGGGGATGGGGCCCCCTTTTATGATGTCATTGAATAGGCGGGTCATGTAGGGCATCAAGGGTTCTTTGAATTTCTTATAGAATTCTGCTGTGAAGCCGTCTGGGCCTGGGGCTTTGTGTGGTTTCAAGTTTTTGAGGACCGCATCTATTTCCTCTGGGGTGATAGGGCTATCCATGAATTCCTGTTCCTCATCAGTTAGGGTAGGCATGGTCAGTCCTGCTAGAAATTTTTTGATTTCCCTCTCTGGTGGGTTATGCCATCAATTTGTAAATACAAGAACTTTCTTTGCTACTGTTAATCACCGTTAATTGACATTTTTGGCCAAAATTCAACTGACAGTCAAGAGCTAGCCCTATCTTAACCCAGATACCCCAGCAGTCAGAGCTATTTAACTGGCCTCAGCCATTTTTCCCTCATAAGAAACAAAGTTAGATATGGGTGGGAGAATTTTGGTGAAAATTTTAGGGGCTTTCGGGTGATTACCTTAATAATGTTTACAAGGTGGCTGAGAGGTGTGGGTGTTCTCTTAACACTTAAAAAAATTCTCGTGTTGCTTTTTCTACAGGGCTCCACAATCTCCCTGACCAGCACACTTCCTGAAGCACTCATGAGGGAAAGTCATGAAATGAATGTCCTCAGCTGGGAACACCATTAAGTACATCAGTCGGGGAGGCCAAAGAAAAAGGAGCATCTGCACTAAGTAGGATTGCTTGGATGTAGCCTGTTTTTATGACCAAAGTATCTTACCCCAAACCAGTTTATCTGACTGCATTATTCTCATTTATTTATAATTGCCTAATCATATGAAACTAAATTACATTATGCTGTAAGGACCTTTAATAAAATCTTAGAATTGTAGAGTTGGAAAGAACCCTGAGGGTCATCTAGTCCAACTCCCTGCAATGCTGGAAGCTCAAGCATCCATGCCAGATGGCCGTCCAACCTCTACTTATAAAGCCCCAAGGAAAGAGAGTCCACTACCTCCCAAGTGAGACCGCTCCACAATTGAAAAGGGGCCTGCATAAAAGTGGTCGCTTGTGAGTAGAACACACGCAAGTTGAGGGATGCCTGCACTCTCAAGGTCCATTAGCAGTTCCTCCAATAGATCAGGGTTAGCCAACATTGTGCACTCCAGATGTTGTTGGACTAACTCCCACCATCCTTCGCCACTGGCCATGTTTGAAAGGGCTGATAGGAACTCGAATCCAAGAACATCTGGAGGACACACCATTATCTACCTCTTCATTGGGGCTTTAGTCACTAATGGTCAAATGTATTTTCTCAGCTCCACTCCCATCTCCAACCTTTCAGCCCTTACAACATGCCACAAAACCAAGCAATAATGATTTTTAAAATAATGATTTTTAAAGAAGATGTTAGGATATTACTGTTTGATGTACTAGCATTTTTGTACTTAACACTTTAAGGGAAAAATTTTTGCATTAATTACATAAAGAATTAACTGAAGGCAGCCCTGTTTAGGGAAGTTTTTCATGTTTGAAGTTTTATTCTGTTTTTGGTGAAGTTTTATTCTGTGTAGAATATTCCTGCATTATGAATGGTCCATGTCACCTTTAAGAAAAAGAGGTAGGATTAGGCCAGGCATGGCCAAACTTG